TATATATATATATATATATATATATATATATATATATATATATATATAAATTTTGGAAAACACTTATATACAACATCAACACATACATTTTGGGTATAAAAGTGCACGATTAGTAAAAATACTTTTAGTATAAAAGTACACAATGAATAATCTTACTTTTGGTATAAAAGTGCACTTTCATTAAACTTATTTTTGCTATAAAAGTACATTTCGATACAAACATATCAAACATGTGACCTCACCAACATTACGTTGACGTCTTCTCAAAAAGCTTGTATTCTCAGGAAATTATGAAGTTGAAAGTCATTCGCTTTGGAAAAATCATCGGATTACAGTTTACTCACTATTGGATGTTTTTCATTGTTGCCTAACTGTTAAGGCATGATCGATATTTTCATATCTCATGTATGCAAATGACTATGATCTATGAGGATGTCTCACCGCCTAACGTTTCTGCCACCGCCCGGGGGCGTGACAGATTAGTATTAGAGCCATTATCTATAGAAAGAAGTATCTTCTTAGAAGGTGATAACTATAGCCTAGGGTTCCCAACTCAAATTAGAGTTATCCCTATAAAACTAAGAATAAAAGTATTATTAATTATATTATTGGTCGATCATTACTTGATTACCATGAAGTACTAAACAAAAGTTAATAATACAACCACCTTAAGATTATACAAAATATATAATCCACCACGAATCGATCTTGAACTCAAGGTTTTTGATAAAATACATTAGCTAAGTTTTGTAATACATGGGCCAAACCACAACTAAACGTAGACTAATCACCCATGTTTAATTATGGTCAGACCGATGCACGACTAAAATTAGATACATCAGTTGATAGACTAAACACTTGGAGATTATAAGAAACTCAAGCAAGATCACAGTTCAAAACACCAAGGAAAAAACTTGAGAAACCACAAGAATACCAGTAACGTCTTATTAATACTTATACTTGATAAATATAAATATTACACATCCTCATAAAACTCTAGCACTCATAGACATCAATAATGTTGGATGTTTATTGCAAGAACACTAGCTACTGAGCTATAATATACTACGTATGTTTCTAAGGAAGAGATCTCGACCTTGCAAATCACATCCACAATCGAAATAGTAGAGACCAATGAGCCCATAACCACTACTACACTACATCCACTTTCTCATAGATCATACCGATCAACTCTTGGAGGAGTACTCTTCATGAAAACACCCAAGAAACAAACCACAAAACCTTACCCTTAGAAGAGACCACTCTCATATACTACGACAATATTGTTATCTGCACCATCACTAAAGATTACTCGTCCATCAGCCCAACATTCGAGACTCGATGACCAATATTCTACAATAGTAGGGAGCCGAGAAAGAGATACCCTTGACGTACAAGGTGTGTAGGTCATCCCAGACTCCCCAACCAATATGTGTCGATTATGATCCAGTAGAAAGCATTGTGCCCCCTTTTTAGTAACATATAGTGTTCGTCTTGATCACTAACTCATAACAATTGATGATATCATTGGAATCAATCAAGGAAGCTTAATAACAATTCTAAGGGAAAATCAAGACAATCCTTGTGAAAGGAGAAAGATTTTGGGAATGTTTATGCGGCAACAATGACTCCACAAAAGCAAGTCATAGAAAAAACCCAAGTGTGACCAATACAACTATCACAATCCGGGTAACTGCAAGGAGCCCTTCTGTCACTATTGTAATAGAAAAAACCTAAGTGACTAGTACGTTCCTATTTAAGAAACTTATATGCTACCATACTATTTGATTTGGGTATAGTAAAGAGTTTTATAACACCTAATATTAGACACTCGCTAAGTCATAAGCCCAATAGATTTAAGGAAATCTATACAACAGGAATGGCTAATGGCCAGGCAGGAAGTACACATGAAATTTAAGAAAACCAAATCCTAACTCATGACAGTCGTGCCTTCCATGTCAATCGTAGGCAAATAACCATCAGAAGCTTAGAAGTTATAATGCATAGATTGGTTATTCTTTCATTATGCCGAAACAGGTGCTACAAAAGTCCATACAATTACCTTCACCTAAAAAATAAACCTTGATCATTACAGAGACAAATCCAGGAAAAACCTTAGAGTATATCATGCATGAAGGCACAAAACTATCTACACAAGAAGTACTATGCTTTTCTAGAACATGTCGCAGATAAACGAGGCAAAGACAAAGGAATCAAATACATACCACAAGTGTGCGAGTATCCTGATCTACATCTAAAAGGTCTACTAGGATTACAACTAGTCAAACTACTCGAGTTTAGAATCGACTTAATTCCAGGAGTAACACCAGTAGTAAAGTCCCATTACCGGTTGACATCGCCCTAAATAGAAACGCTGTCTAACCAACTTTAGGAACTTCTTGACCAAGGCCTTAATATACCGAGTTTCTTACCTTGGAGAGTACCGATTCTATTCGTCAAGAATAAGGATGGATCCTTCCAAATATGTATCATGAACTAGACAAGCTGACCTTCAAGAACTGATACCCATTCCCAAGAATCGATGATCAATTTGATCAACTAAAAGGATCCAACTACCACTCAAAGATCGACCTAAGATCAGGATACCACCAATTTCGAGTTCAAGAGAAAGACATTCTGAAGATGACATTCAAGACTCACTGTGGTTACTACGAGTTCCTAGTTAAGTCGTTCAGACAGACCAATACAACAAATAGGCTTCATGAACTCTGTATGTAAACCATACTTTGTAAGGTCGAAAATGTGTTGTAACATGTCGAAGTCTGTGTAATAGATGCCTTCGTTAGTTTCATTATGTATTTACTAAGGCACCTTTTGGTCGAAGCCGAATGCTGGCCTTAGTATTTTTTGTATGCTTTACTGTTTTCCTATAGATAGGAAACGTTACTTAGAGTTAAGATAAGAATTTTGGGAGTCAGTCTTGTCTATTCTCTCTTTGTAATTGTGAAGCATAATTGAGCTGAAACAAGATCTTATGATTTTATTATTCGATTCAATACTTCATCAATTGGTATCAGAGAAGGAATCATATTACTGCGACCTGATTTTCATTCTGAATCAAGAGGTTTTTGAATCAATTTTTGATTTAAAAGTTTTCGCACCTTTTGTTGTGAATATTGTTCTTGATCTACAGTTGTGATTCGATTCTGCAACTGATTTGTTGAATCGAGTGTTCTACTTGAAATCTCTGATCATTTCAGCAATTTGCTTTCAAAATCTCTTAAGTTTTTCTGAAAAATTCATCCGTACGTTCATGGCTAATTTCAACCTGAATTCAATGACATCTTATTCTCATCTGCTAGGATCTTCAACTAAGATTCCTATGCTTATCCCTGAATACTATGATCAGTGGGATGATCGCATGCAAGACTACTCAAACGGGCTGGATGAGGAGCTTTGGTCATGTATTACTGGATATGGTACTCCACCAAATGTTCAAGCAATTGGATCTTCATTTGAAACTTCAAGTGTTACTGATCAATCTGATAGGGTGAAGAAGCTTAAGATAAGATGTATGAGGGAATTGCGTGGTGCATTGCCTCCTGTTGTTTACAACTATATCAGAAGCTGTACAACTGCAAAAGACGTCTGGAACAATCTCAAAGAAAAGTTTCAAGGAAGCGAGAAAACTAAGATCAATTCAGTCAAGCAATGCTTGGTTGAGTTGAAGGAATTCAAGCAAAAAGATAACGAAACAATTGAACGCTACTATGATCTTTTGAATGAACTTATCTACAAGTGTAATCGCTTTAGGATTACCAGGTCAACAATGAAGTTTAACCTTACTTTCATCATGGGGCTTCGGAAGGAATGGAGAAGTGTTACTTTGATCGTCAAAACACAATCAAGTTTTGATAATTCATCTTTGAATGACTTGTACAATCTTCTGAAAACTTACGAAGGAGAGGTAAATGAGATGGCAGAAGAGTCGAAACTAAGTTTAGGAGGTCCTTTGGCACTTGTTTCAAAAGTTACTGAGAAAGAGTCGACTGAAAAAGAGAATTCAGATGAAGAAGGACTTCTTATGAATTCAGATGATGAGGCGATTGCTTTTTACTCAAACAATCGAGTAAAGAAGTTTTTCAAGAAACCGTTCAGTTCAAAGATGAAACAAGGTGATGCTAAAGGAAGTTTCATTAAAAAGTCAGTTGGTGAGGAAAAGAAAAAGTTTGAG